GACATCTGAAAACACACACACACACACACACACACACACACACACACACACACACACACACACACACAGACACAGCTGCAGTTGCAATTGCAGTTTCCTCTCAGTCCAAATCTCATTAAAACATCTCACTGTGAATAATTACTTCATTGTTGCTTCTAGCTCGCAATAAAGGCATTTCCTTTTCTCTGTTTTTGGCCTAATATGTTGCCAGCGAAGAAATTTACCAGTCCTTTAGCTATTAAAATGTGTCTCAGAAGGGATTTTGCTCGGCCATCATCAGACATGGCTAAAATTGCCTGATTCTCCAGTTTGCAGTTAAACCATAGCCGTAATGTTTAATTCTTCTGTTTTTCCCATCTTATGAATCGTTTAAACGTTCGCCTCACCGCATTAATGCAGCATTTGTCATTTTTGCCAAGTCAGCTGTTTGTAGCACAAGTGCACTCGAGGCTAATTGCGTTCGGGTGTGGTAGTCACGTTTCTCATTAGCACACCTTGCGCTGTTGGAAGAATCAGTAGTGATCAAGTGTCCCTCAAGAATTATAAAACCCCCACCTGACCGTGAATTGTAAAATTATGCTGTGCTTGTTAAATTTTGTACACTTGTTAACTCGGTCAGTGCAAACATATAGTGTTACACCTTCCTACACATAATCACTGACTAATCACGTCACTAACAAACAAAAAGAAAAGCCTGTATTTCGTAAAAGGATCGTCATTTACTCTGCCTGAAGGACTTTTCTTTTCTGTTGAACGCACAATTTTAAAATGCTTTATACTGTTGTTGTAATATTTGTGTGTAACTGGAATATGCATTTTCATATTTCAGACCAACACGGGTTCTTATACACCGACGGGGCGGCACTCGGTTTCTGTGGAGGACCAAATGCAGAAACAGAGAGAGGACAGAGACTCTTCCACACAAGCCCAGAGGCAGTACAACTCCTTACCGCGGTAAGAGAAGCCAAACAGAGCCGTCACTGCACAAAATATCTCAGATTCTCTGATCTGTTAACCACACATTGTCTCTCACAATAACACTAAATTAACAATATTTGCACAAAGCACTGAAGCCCTTTTTCATGCATAAACTTTGGAGTTAAGAAGTAAAAAGTAGTTTTAAATGAAATAAAATGTAGCATATTAGCATATGTACATTAATTTTTTATAATAATAATATTATTATTATTAATATTATTATTATTTAACTTGAATAATTTTAGGTAACACTTTATTTCGATAGTCCACTTTAGACATTCTATTAACAGTAAGTAACTTTGCAACTACATGTCAACTAGCAGTTAGTCGAGTATTAGTAGACTGTCTGCTTAACACTTAAGACTATCTTCTAACACTTTCTTTGTCAACTTATTCTACTAACCCTAAACCTACCCTAACAGTCTACTCTAAGAGTTAGTAGACATGTAGTTGCAAATTAATGAGAATTAGTTGACATGTAGTTGACATGTAGTTACAAAGTTACTTATAGTTAATAGAATGTCTAAAGTGGACTATCGAAATAAAGTGTAACCTAATTTTAATGCCTTTTTGGCAGGACATTGACCTTGCTGTAACATGTAAATAATACATAAAGCGTCATATCATACCATTATTATGATGCCATTATAATACTTTCCTGTTACATTTTGTAACTCTATTCCTTACATTCAAGCAATAAATCTCAAATACGAGTACATAAGTTGCCGGATCGCCTAGAGCAAAGCAATGAAAAGTGATGCTTTAATAAATTCATGCTAATAAATCAGCCATAACCCAAATATGCGTGCAATCTTATTCCCACGTCTCTCACACTCTGTCTGACCTCAGTGGCATTTCTCCGCTGAAGTCATCCCATTGTCATGCGGTCGGTTCTGTCTTCACTCTAAGCCTTCAGAACAGCAACAGCGTCTGTCTTCATGCTCACATGCCCCTCCTAAACCTAATAAAGATCAGCCCGAGAACCTGTTTGTTGAGGAAAGTTTATCTTGGCAACCGCAGTCTATCGGGCCCCCCTTTTTCGGATGGATATCGGCCCCTTCCCTCATCTGCTTTCTTCACTTTCTCTCTTTTTTCTTCCCCTTCCCTTTGCATATTTGTCATAAATGTCAATAAAGCTTAGAATGTTGCCTGCGGGCTGAGTTTGATATCTGCGTTTCTACTTGCAGGCATTGGTATCTTCTTAATCTGCTTCAGTTCATGCAAAGCATCCAACCAACAGACATGAGAAGAAAAAATCCCGCATTAGAGCTTTACATACTTAACTGACAGGGGTGGGGAACTGCCGGCGCTGCCGATAAAGTTTCACTCAGTATTTCAGTACATTTATTTACAGCACAGCAGGAAAAACGGCATTTTTAAGTTTTCTGATGAAACCGTACCAGCTCAAAAGTTGCCTTCACAATGCAAGGGTGTCGCCAAGGTTCTGCTGAAGTGGTTTGTTAGCCACAAAAGAAATCTTGAAGGCTGACATTGAAGCCTAGTCTCTATGACACATTCTCCCGTTTGTCTGCCAGGCAAAACATTGCGAATCTGATCAAATTTGCGATCACACTTCTTAACAAACTGCTCATTTTAATGTACAAACTGCAAGTTACATGCAGAAGTTTAAACAGTGTAATTTATATGGTACCAGAATTGCAAAAGGCTTATTTTGCTATTGCCAAAGTTTGGGGTCTTTTTTTTGTTTTATAATATAATAATACATTGATACTTTTATTCACCAAGAATGCATTAAATGCTATTATTCAGATATTTTGTTCATCAAATAATCTTGGAAAATAATAATAATAACAATAAGAAAAGAAAATAGATCAATCAAAGAGCATATTAGAATGATTTCTGAAGGATCATGTCACACTGAAGACTGGAGTAATGATGCTGAAAATACAGATTTGCCAGTACAGAAAAAAAAAAAAAAAAAAAACCTTGTTAATTACATAAAATAACATATTGATTTAATAATTTAAGTGTATTTATTTATTTATTCATTTATTTATTTATTGAATTAATTAATGGGTGTTAGGAGAATATAGGCAACAAAAAAAAAAGCAAACAGTATGTTGACTTAGGAAAAAAATTGTCATTTAAATGGGATTAGAAGAGAATAAGAAGTCCAAAAAATGCATTTCACCTTTATTGCTTACGTTTAGCATTTGTTCAAGTCTATAACCCTAAGTCTTAACAGTACAGACATGAAAAAAATTTAAAAAAATAAAAGAAATACATGTGTTATTTTTATTTTAATGCCATTCAATTTGCCTTAGTATAAGATTGTGGTATGTGGATATTCTGAACTGGAATTATTGGGACATGTCTACAGTGTGTGTGGTCTAACATGCATGGCGCTTGTTTTTATTGGCTTTGGGAGTGGTGTAACCAGGATACGTACAATTACAGAATTAGTCCCCCCTCAAGCAATGACAAAGCCCAGCGCACACCACAGAACGGAGGGGGGCCTTGCATCAGAAATCCCAGATTCGTCCATCGTTTTTTCCCTTCTCTTTCCCAAGACAGTAGAGGAAGTCCTACGATCGATAGAGAGGTTGATATTCACTACTCCACACTATGTGGACATAATGACAGTTAATCAATTCAACCAATCAGCTTCCACTATTTCTCACTGCTTTAAGCATCGTCAGTGTCGCTGTCTATATTGAGTGAACTTTAGACAAAAACTCCAGGTTTGCGAGGAATCCGCCGACTGGTTCCTGGCGGAGCTTTGACACTTTCCCTGGGGAAACTCCACATGGACAGCGACCCTTTGATGCGCATTCCACTCATAATCTCATACCGTCGGTCAGGCAGGGTCAAGCTGGTGTGAAATGACCCCTGTCCTCTGGAGGACCCGACAGAGATGCGCACTCATTAGTAATGTAAGGACTTACTGGAACGCCATCCCTCCACCAATCATAACGCAACTTGGATTAATCAACAGACACATGGACAGACTGTGGATTATAAGCAAGCTTTAACAGGGATCCAACTATGTGTTTACACTGTAGATTCAGATTTAGCACTTGGCTAATGAAGGGATTCTTTTTTGAGAGGTGGATTAGACGGAAAGAAAGGGAGGAACATAAAATGGTAGATAAGCGAAGTGTACGCTGATTAGCAGTAATGGAAGTCATGTGAAACAGAGCGCAACTTCATGCAACAGCTGCACGTTATAATACGGCAACACTCACAGAGATAAGAGGAGGGTCCCGCGTTCCAGCCTCTCGTTCTGCTTTCTGTTAACAAATAGAAAACATTACTCAAGGTGTTGAGATAATATTGTTCTCTGTGTGCATAGCTGTTGTCCTTTTGATAAACTGTGATGCACACCAGCTGTTTCTCAGATACTCACAAACACTAGCTCTTACAAAACAATAAAATACAAGTAAAATACTTCTGTCATTAATGTTTTTAGCTGTGTTATGATATGACATTATCATAGAGATATGCTTATTATTTCGCATCACTTTATCTACATGTGAATTGTGTAGTTTTTGCTCCACTGGCATCAGAATTGCAAAAATAATGACTGTTTTCAAAACGGTTTCCCAAATGGTCTCCCCGAACAGACAGAAAGCCCCGCCCCAAACTCCTGCCATTAGTTGAGCTGTTGCTATGTTGGGCTGGTCGGGATTTCAGATCTTTCAAATAAATCTACAAATGTTGTACTTATAGTCTCTACTTATTAACTTGAAATAGGAGTAATTTAAATGTAAAAATATGACGCGTTTCACTGTTGTGCAGTAGCTAACAACTGTCTTTAGCCTTGACTATATTCACAATATGGCATGAAACTTATTTCACATCACTTTATCTACAAGTGAAGTGTGTAGTTTTTGTGCCACTGCCATCAGAATTGCTAAAATGATGACTGTTTTTAAACAGGTTTCACAAATAATCTCCCCATCTGCTATTGGTTGAACGGACAGAAAGCCCCGCCGCAAAATCACACCATTGGTTGAGCTGTTGCTATGTTTGGCTGGTCAGGATTCTCAAACATTAAGAGCAATGTTTAGATTTTTTAAGGACGTTAATTATATAGATGTTTCACTTATAGTTGTCTCTACATATTAACTTTGAATAGGAGTAATTTAAACTTGAAAATATGGCACATTTCACTTTTATGCAGTAGATAAAAACAGCCTTTAGCTTTGACTATATTCACAATATGGATATATTGAGTATTTTATCTCAGGATGGTACATTGATGGTGTATCATCACACAGGACCGGAACTAACTACTTTAATAAGAGTTATAAAAATGTATTGTATCTATTGAATTAATATTGATTTGTTAATGCTGTAATGAAGTTTGCTTCTAGCTGTCTGTTTGTACGTATAAGATGTGTTTCAAGGTGATAATTAGTCACCTTTTTCTCAATATTTTCAAGAACAAGTATGCAGATGTCACTGTAAGTGCATGAAGATTTTGTTTTTTTCTCTCTCTCAAAAAAAATGTAAACACCCCTTATTTCACCACCACTTTCTGAATTCTGGACAATATTACAACATTTGTGTTCCTTCTTTTGAAAGCACTCCTTTCTTGTGTGAATCCCAAAAGAAGTGTGCGAGTACACACTTACACGCATGCTTTTAAGTGTGCAAAGCCAGTGAGGTGTGAGTGGGGCTTCATTTAGCCATGAGGTGATGGGATGTGGCACGGTAGCTACTTCAAATTCCCACTTAATGGATCCTAATAACAGAGCAGAGAGAAGATGGACACAGTCTGAGTGGACACCCCTCACAACGGCCACCACGTTGAAAAATAAATTTGTAGGTTGGATATTTCTTCCCTCGTTCCTTTAGGCAAGAAAGGGATCTGATGCTGGCGGTCTGTCAGTTGTCTAGTAGTTGATTGGCCGATATGAATGGACATTGAATGAACCTGTTATTTCCTTTCTTGATGTTAAGTACGCTAGCTGGTCTCAGCCAGAGTGTTTAACGCTTTTTGTGCAGCACTGAACTAGATTTTTACATTTTCTGGAGAACTGGTGCTTGGCACTTGTCTTGGACAACTTGCCACCAAAATGCTATAGCATGTTGTAGGTGGTTGTTACCATAGACTGTAAAAAAGTTGGGTGATATGTCCCTATTTCCTTCCACTGTAGAAAAACGAAGCCAAAATGTCCCAAAATGTCATTTGGATTCATAAAGTGGTGCCGCAGTATCGAGGTCCTGTCCGAACTCTCATAAACTCATCGCGAGCACACAATCATGATGCCACACACTGTTTTTATAGCATCAAATAAAACCACACTTATTAGAAAAACAAACACTTGAAAACACCAGCATAATAAGAACTTCCTAAAATGACAGAAACCATCTTTGGGTAAAATTTATTTGAAGAGTAATTCGATTTTTTTGTTAGGCTCGCATCCCATTCATTTACATGGAGAGGGCGGGGTTTATGACCTATACTGCAGTCAGCCACAAGGGGACAATCAACATGTTTTGGTCTTACTTTTTAGGATGTCTGCGGCACACTTTATTGTATAGTTTCTAGATGGTTACTTACTAGCCCAGGTCAAAAGAGCCTACTCTCGGGTCTAGATTTTATACATCCTTTTTTTCAGTGAAAGTCTTTTTTTACCATGTTTTGGTCTCCTCCTTTCAGTTTCACTTTATTTTGATGGTCCCTTTAACACATTCTGTTGACTATAAGTAATGTTGCACCTGCATATCTACTAACTCTCATTAGAGTGTTAGTAGAGTATTAGTAGACTGGTAGGGTTAGGGTTAGAATAAGTTGACGTGTACTTGCAAAGTTACTTATAGTCAGTAGAATGTCTGTTGGGAGACCATCACAATTAAGAGTTAGCAGATATTAAGCAGACAGTCTACTAATAGTCTAATGAGAGTTAGTTGATATGTGGGTGCAAAGTAGTGCTGTCAAACAATTAATCGTGATTAATCGCACCCAAAATATTTTTTTTTGTTATATAATATTACGTTTTTGTTTACATAATATATGTGTGTGTACTGTGTATATTTATTACGTATATATAAATACACACATGCATGTATATATTTAGGAAAAATATGTTATGTTTATATGTTAAATATATTATATGATATAATATAAATTATATTAATATGAATATATACATGTAAATATTTTCAAAATATATACTGTGTGTGTGTGTATTTATATATGCATAATAAATATACACAGTACACACACACACACATATTATGTGAACAAAAACTTTTATTTTGGATGCGATTAATCGCGATTAATCGCTTGACAGCACTTGTGCAAAGTTACTTATTGTCAACAGAAAGTTCGAAAGAGACCATCAAAATAAAGTGTTACCCTTCTTTCTCTTTTCCTTACAGACAACCACGTAAAAACCCTAGCACCGTGTCTCAAGACTCTTGGAATAAAGTCTATCCTCCTGGCGAGGTCTTTCAGTCCACCAAAGAGAACCCACGCTATTCCAGCTACCAGGGATCCCGCACTGCCAATGGCTACCTGGGCGCCGCCGCCACGGGCTTGAACGCTCGCGTCCTCCTGGAGACCCAAGAGCTCCTGAGACAGGAACAGAGACGAAAGGAGCAAGAGGCTAAAACCAAGCTACCTACTATGGAGGAGACACCAACCTCAAGCCAAACCCCTGTTCCTGCTCCACCCAAAGGCCCCTACCGACAAGACGTGCCACCCTCGCCCACCCAACTCGCCCGGCTCAACCGTCTACAGACCCCTGAGAAGGGCCGCCCCTTCTACTCCTGAGACGAGAGATCAAAACTGTAGGAAAAACTGTATGACAGCAATACTATTGAATGGAGAGAGACAGGGCTATAACATGGAGACTGCATGGAGGATTGGTTTTGGAGGTTTTTCTGAGGGTTGCCAAGTTGTTGTTTTTGTACTCTAGTATGGAATCTTTGTACACACTGAAGATCTTTGTCAACTATCCATCTCCCATTCTTACTTTTGACAATTGTGTATATGTTTGTTTAATTCATTGACGTTATGGCACTAGGTACACTTGACAATCACATGACAGTCGCCCGAGGCTTTGATACATGGTTGTTCAAAGAAAAAATGCAATATTTAGCTTTAAAAAATGAAGCTAGTTTCTAGATCTATAAATATATATTTTTTTCGATTACAGAGGTCATGACATCCAACATTATATATATATATATATATATATATATATAGTAGCCACAATTTAAGAATTCAGTCCCACGACTTAATTTGTCACATTTTATTAATATTTTCTTTCCTAAAACAGTAATTCAATAATTTTCACTCTATTATAATAAAAATGGCAAATTCAATTTTTTTATAAAAAAAACTGCATAAATGTAGTACAACATATCAATGATGTGTAAATATTTTACAGTTTAAATATTTCTTTAATATCTTCACTGAGAATGAGAATTTGGATGCGTTGCACTAATGAGAGTTTTGTGGGTGTAGGTGTACAGTATGTGTTCAGGGCGAGTGTGTTAGCCCATGTACTCCAGCAGTGTAGCTGAACTCAGCTAATAGAGTGCAGAAAGGTCATGACCCCACAACCCTCTGCTACGGAAACCTCCATTAACCCATCATACTTCTCTTCATGTGACGCCTCCCATCTCCACTCACTTCATAATTGATTCTTCTGCTTCTGTTAGTGGCCTCTGTTCCTCCGCTACTAAACTGGTAAATGTACAGATCTCACCCTTCTCAATGCAATACATCCCGGACCAGGAATTAGGGAATTAATTCAAACTTTTTTTTTTCTTCAAATGTTTTGTAATTTGTTCAAATACTTCCTGAAGAGTAAAGAATTTTGTTTGGTGCTAATATCAGAACAGAAAATTACATAAACTTGACATAAACTAGGCCTACAAAAACGACTTGAAAGTCAACATGAAACTGTGTTATTCAATAGCTATGTTTTCATCCAACTATTTTATGTGAATTTTGGGATATGACAAAGAAACTCCAAGATGCTCATAAATTAAAAAAATGTGCATTAAAAAAAATGAACAAAAAAAACAAACACATAATGCGAATAAAAATGTCTTTATCCGGTAAGAAAACATGTGCATAAACAACGACGGAAACACATTTAACAAAATAATTTTTTATTGATACTTTGTGCCAGTTTCGCTGGAAGTGGCAATTTTTTTTTGTCTTGAACACATGGGATGCAAACAGTTTTATTTGCAAATGTTTTATGCGATATTGTAATTTTGTGAATAAGTTAAATCGGCAACTTTGGATGGAAACATAGCAAATGAGATCAAACGTAATTTTCTTCATTAGGAATCAGTGGTATTGTTTGTGCTACAACCCAGTGTATTTATAATTAAGATAACATATTGCAATAATATGGTAAGAAAGACCAGTTTGCAATATCAAGCAGCAAAACGAGCTGTTTTGTACAGCTAAAAATAGTTGGAAGCAGATGACACAGGAAGCCAGACACATTAAATTGACAAATGGCTGTGCCCGCTCTTAACGGGAAAAATAAGGTGAATATGACGAGTGGTTGGAGGGGAGGGGCTTAAAAATAAGAGGGACTGATGATGTCAGCCACAATGGAAAATCAATTTAAAAGTGGAGCATGTTTTTACATTTTGATGAAAGATTACAAACTTTTCTTGATGAATAATGTTCACAGATTAATTTTACATATTAACACCAGGAACATGTATTAAGATAGTATTTAGTGTCTATTTTGACTTTAATGCTTCCCATCAAGACTGTATACATGTGACTTGTAGGCAGTGTGCTTGTGTGTGTGTGGACGCATTAGTTTTAAACCCAGTAGGTGTGGGTGTGACTCTGACCTTTGCCTTCACACAAACCGTCTTTGGTTTCAGCGGCTCAGGCAAAGACCAGTTCTGTTCAGCACTTTAGTTTTTTTATCACACAGGTTAATGGGCAGTTGCTCGAACACGTGTTCCACTATAACACAACAAAGCTCAGGTTAAAGCAGACGCCGCAGTAGCCACGGATACGGTTGCAAACCTTTAAAAGACCAGTTCACCTAGTAATAAAAATGTTGTCATCATCTACTCTCTCCCATGTCGTTCCAAACATGTTTGCTTTTCTTTCTGTGAAACACAAAGTGCAGTCCATACTTTCTCTCAAAAGAGTTGCCAAAATGGACAAAAAAAAGGCAAGTAAATTTGTCCATATGACTTTTGAGCTTCTACAATAAAATTGGACTATGTGCTTGTATTTTGCTATTTGTTTGTATGTTATAAAAAAAAGCAAGTCCAGGACATTCTTCAAACATCATCATGAATGAGAGAAAGTAAATTTTTCCATGACAATCCCTTTAAATCTAGCTGCCTTTTAACTGTTCGTTCAAAAATCCAACCCACTCTAACAAATGTCATGTGACTTTTATGTGTGCTGTGTGTGTGTGTATATATATATATATATATATAATTTTT